CCGCCCCGCCCCTCCACCACCCTCCACAGCAGTGGTGCTCAACTGCGCCTTCCAACTTCCTCAGAAACTTAGAAATGCTGATGCCCAGGCCCCTCACCATCCATCACCTAGAAGGTCAGATTTAATCGGTCTGGAGTGCGACCAATTGCCAGTAGCTTTTAAGTTCCTTGGGTGATTCTAATATGTTATCAAGGCTGAGAAACAGTCCTATGCATCAACTTTTTAAAATAACCAGTTCTGAATCCTTTTAATTTTAACGTTTGTCCCAGGTTTACTGGAGGCAAATACATAGTGAGAGAGCAGGTGTATCCCCCGCGAGAAAGCCGAGTGATGAGTCCCAACTGTTGTACATAGACGGGGCACTTTAAGCACAGGCAAGCCCAGCATGGCTATAACTAATGGGGGAGAGCCTCACAGGGGTTCGGTTTAAAGAAACAAGACCCTTTCAAATGGAAGATTGGAGTTTCAATCCAAAAGAAAATCAAACCATTTTGTGGCATTTGTTTCTCCATCTAAATTAATACTTTCGTTTTAGAAGCAAAATCTAGCTGAAACAGTAATTTGCTAAAATTAAGGCCTCATCTTTCACATTTGTGGCTGCTCTGCTCTGTTTCTCTGTTTCTCTGATGGCCTTCAGCTGTGTGCATTGTCAATGGAAGCCCTGGTGCCTCCGGCCCCCGGTGCTTGCTGATGCCAAAACCACTTTCAGAGCCTGGCATCTGCTTAGAACCATCTGAGACTTTTTTCCTCATTGCAGAAGCAAAATCTGACCTTTCATCTTTCAGGAACATACAATTTGCCACACCAGAGGGGATCTTATCTAGCCTCTGGCATAAAACTTCACACATGCAAAGGGACGGGGAGCTGTGAATGCATGTCCAGCAGAAGGAAAGAGTATTAATCTGCAAACAAAACATGTTTTTTTCTGACCACTATGGTGATCAGCTTATATCCAGAAACAAGGCATCGATTGCTGGTGCATTACTTCCTAATGACAAATGTTAACCTTGATTATAAAATTAAAGGTATTTTAGAATGAAAAGTTGATCAATGGGCAGCCAGAATCTTTCCGGTTGAGAGGTCCCAGGGCACCCTTATGAACCCATTAGTCTGCATAGAAGGGTTTCTTTTCCATTGTGTTCATGGAGAAGCAGCAAAGTGCAATAGGAGGAGCCTGGTCCTTAGAGAAATACGGGGTTGGTAGACTCGCAATCTCCATCACTTACAAGCCATGTATCCTTGCATACGTGACATGATTTCTCTGACCCTTGGTGCACTCACCTTTAGAAGGAATTAATACCCAGCTTATGCAGTGTTGAGAGGACAAAAGAAGATATGTAAAGCACCAATTAGGGTGAAAAGGGATGCAATAAGTGATTGCTGTTGGTATAATCAACTTGTTAGCTTTTGTCCCTAATGAGAAAAACCTTAAAGGCACTACATTACTGTCTTCCCATCTGTCAAGCTGGACCCCAAACTCCTTCACCCCTTTGCCATCTTCCTGCGCCTTCTCCCTCACATCTTCTGTGCCTGCAAACTGGGCTGGGGTGGGGGTTGGGATGAAGAAGTACAAAATAAAACATAGCAGAGATAAGACATGGCAAGAAGCTGCTTATAATGTAGAAATCCAGGCTGAGTACAGGCTAGGATTTAAGAACATGCCCTAAGGCTGGCTGGTTAGCTCAGTTGGTTAAAGCACAGCCTTATAACACCGAGGACACGGTTCAGATCCCCAAACTGGACAGCCACAAAAAAAAAAAAAAAAATGCACATAAAAAAAAAAAAAAAAATT